ACGTGCTTGTTATATAGAGTATTTGCCAGTTTTCTTTGAAGAAAACGTTTTAGAAGAAAACCAAATTGCGGACGTGTCAGTCAAATTGAATCAGCTCACATTCAGTCGGATATACGTAGAAGAAAATATTTTCTTTCAAACACAATTTGGACCAGAAACTCCCAAAACTGCATTTCTTATAAAAAAGTTTTAAGGAGTCATTGGGTCTGAATATACCAGACAATATAGATTCCCCAACGGATGTGTTTCTTCAATTCTTTACAAAAGAACTAATAAGTTGTTCAAAATAGCAGTGGTGACGAAAACCGGTTTACACAAACCAATTCAGAGGAAATGCGGGTATTTTTAGCAATAAACTTACTAATGGCAATAAAGCGTCTTCCCAGCCTGAGAGATTACTGGTCTTCCAGGGCAGATTTTCAAGGTGCCTATATTAGTTCTTGTATGCCAAGGGATCGGTTTGTGTGGCTGCTAAAAAATTTACATTTGGAAAGTGTGTTTGTGCTAGTCAACTTTTCAGACTAGTTCGTCGGACTTGTCCGTGGACTTTTCCAAGCGGCCCATCACCATTCAAAATAAAGTATTACTTTTGAAAATATCTTATTAACACATATGCCTAGTGTCCCAACATCTAAGACACGGTTTATAGCTTTTGCTAACTGATAATAAAATAAAAAATCCATAAAATTACTATTATAAATAAGGCTTTTATATAAAAAAACCGAAAAACTGTTTAAACGTTAGAAAAAATTAATTCCGGCGTCAAAGGGTTAAACAACAGTTGTTTGTTATATAATTGTCTATAATTTTTGTTTTATACATAATTTCTCTAAAATGGACCGTATTCGAGATATTTGATAAAATGTGTAAATTTCGAAATTTAAAGAAAACTCAAAAACGGATACAGAAAAAAACATTAAATTTTTAACTTTTTATTTAAAGTTTTATTTCGGCCTGACCGTCAAATGATTAGATTTTGGACAAAGTCGGAACATCTGGGGGGGGGGTACTTTATAGTAGGCCGTTTTTATATTTTATGGAATATATCTGTTATTTATGTTTGGAGAAAAAAATTGTTCAAATAAAAGTTACTTCTAATATTATTATCTATAATTTTTGTTTTATGTCAAAATTTCCTGAAATGGTCCGTATTCGAGAAATTTGATAATATGTGTATTCTGATTTTTATGAAAATTGTTGAAGTAAAAGTTGTTTGCGATATCGATCTCTATAATTTTTGTTTTTACATGATTTTTCTAAAATGGACCGTAATGGAAAAATGGGAGGAAAAGTGCTAAATTTAAATTTTTCATTATTTCCGTTTTCAATGAATATCTATAGAAAAATGTTTCGAGGTAGATGTATGTGGAAAATGTATATATTTAGTTTATTCTCTAAACATTTATAGAAGTGCTGCAATAGGTTGTACAAAATAGCCGGAAAAAGCCTGTAATAACTAGATAGGAAAGTCATGTGTTGGACACATCAGATTTTTTAGTTTATATAGTAGCCCTAAATAATATTGAGATTATAAAATCAAGTTTACTTTTATATTACCTTTAGATACTGATGCATAAAATTGAGTTGTAATTACAAAATTATTATACGATATACCACTTATTTGGAATTGCATAAATTATACGAGGTACTACAACTTTAATTCAGGTAAGTTTATAATGGAATCCCGAGGGAAAAAATACTAAAAATAGAAGTAAACACATCAAACGAACGAAGGATTGTACCCGAACCTCATCAATCAACATCAACAGAAATAGATTTCATTAAGTCAACTAGAACTAATCTATTTAAACCAAAATATTAAATTAACAGGAATGTATTGTTTAAGTCAGCTACCGCTTGTCGAATTAAACCAAAATGAACAAAATATTATACCAAACATAGATGCAGATGGAACCAATCAAGCAAAGAAATTTAAAGTGAATGATGTAATGCTAATCGAACGAACTATATCCGCACAAACATCAATACAAGATCAAAATAACTTTCAAATAAGCGACACCATGCTTTCTTGTTACCTATCTGATATCGAGATACAAACTAAATTCTCACAAACATCAATACAAGATGAACATAACTTTCAAATAAGCGAAACCATGCCTTCTTGTTACCTATCTGATATCGACATACAAAATGCAGAAATTGTTTTTCAAGAAGACTTTTTTTAGACTACAGTCAAGACAATAATAGCATCAGTGAGTTAAAAAGTGAACACGATGATTACATCCCGACTGAATCAGATTTATAATCTGATTTGGAAAATGACGGCGCAAGCACAAGCAACAAAGAGGATTCCGATTCCGAAAATATAATTCCAATTACAACCCAAATTGATGACAACAAACGAAAGAGACCCCGAGAAGATGGTAATGAACAAGATTAAATAAGAAAAGATGAATGCAAGGAGCATGTGGGTTTTACAAAGCCAAAGAATCAGAAGAAGACTTATAACGATATAAAAGGCCAAAAGCGCATCCTTAAACCACGATGCGAATGTGGAGATGAAAACAAATCTAACCGTAAATGTAAATTAACAAAAGAACACGATGGATTGTTTTTTTTTTGAAAATTTCTGGAGAAAGATGTCATAGGACCGACGAAAAGTTTTTGTTTGCAACACTGTGATCATAAAAGAATCAACGTTTAGAACACAGGATTTAAGAAGAAATAATACACTGGAATATAGCTTGAAACTAAATCATGAAAGGTTCCCATATGCAAAAGAATGTACTTAAATACTACTGGGCTTGGAGAATGATCTGTTAAAAATTGGGGTGTTCAAAGATAAAGATGGGATCGTTGAAAGAAGATAAACTAGATCAAACGTCTATGAAGAGGATTCTGACTTTTTAAGAGAATTTTTTTAAACAAGTTACCAGCACACTATTGCCGTAAGAACACTACCAAGCAGTACTTGGAACAAGATTTTTAATCACTGGCCTAGTTGTAATGAAGTCAATTTTCCTCAATCAATTTATTTTCATTTTTAATAAATATTAAACGCGGATGTAATGAAGTCAATTTTTCCTCAATCAGTTTATTTTCATTTTTAATAAATATTTAATGAGATTGAACTGTCGATCCTCAGTTAATTTACAGGTGCGCGAACGCCACTCGAAATCTCGCTGCGCAGTGGGTCTGAGCGTAGGTGGGATGTCGATTGGGAGAGGGACAGTTGTTTGAACCACACCCGAGATGCTATTAAAATGAGAAGATAGATATAATTTTTGGTTGCCAGCAGTCGAGTTTAATAAGCCGAATTCGAAATCAAATCACCGTCGATACTTTTCCTTTTTCCGAGTATTTACAAATCCGTTAGGTAAAAAACCTTGTTCCGCTTTTTACGTTTGATATTGACTCCGTATTTCATTTTAAAAACCGAATTAGCTTGTAGTAATAGGAATATTTTCAGATAGTGTGTAGTTAAAAGATTTAATTTAATTTCATTAATAAATAATAGAATTTGTTTCTTAGCAAATGATACCGTTTCTTTTTTTTTTTTTTTATAGATAGTGTTTAGTTAAAAGAATTAATTTGATTTAAATAATAAATGTTAGAATTTGTTTCTTGGTAAAAATATTACCGTTTTTTTTTATAGATAGTGTTTAGATAAAAGAAATAATTTGATTTCATTAATAAACATTTGAATTTATTTCTTGGCAAATAAAATACCGTTTCTTTTAAAAGGGATAGAATTTGAATTAAATAATAAATGATAGGATTTAATTCTGTAATATTGTAAAACCGGGGATTTTAGACTGTTGATTATTAGTCGGTATTAAGAAACTATTATTTTTTCTTTTGATAGATTAAATCGGGATTTAAATTTGATTTTATTGATAAATGCTTTTGTCTAGTAAGTACCCGCGTTGTAATTAAGTTGGGAATATTTGTAAACGGAGTTTTCGAGGAGACGTTTTCCATCTTTTAATAGTTTGTTATGAAGGGAATCCAACCTCTCAAATGTGGCCATCTTCAATGAGAAAATAAAACAACTCCAAATCAATCCCACATATAAATATATTAATTAATCAAGGCGACCGGTTTCGGCTAGAATGCCATTTTCAAGCCTATAACAAGTTGAGTGATATTTTAACAAAGTTGGTAATATTAGCTAGACATTATACATACCTAAGATCTTAGCTGGTTTCTAAAGGTGAAATACAATTGTAGATACACTAAATCTACTATATAAAATTTAACTTAACATATGAGGTGCAAGAGGTACAGTTGATATTAAAGAGTAATGTTTAAAGTGGGATTAAAAGTTACACTAAGTAAGAATTTTTAAAAAATTTTTACTATAATTATTTAAATGTATGTGGGAGAGGAATAGAAGAAATTGAAAAAATTTTTGAAAAATTGAAGAAATGGTAGTCGCCCCAGAGTGGGGTGATCCATTCAAATTGTTTTTGAGGCTTCCACAGATTGGGCTTTTGGATGACCGCGGATTGGTATTGCTCTAAAATTTGTTGTGGAGCTAGTAGAGGACAGATAGAATGGCCAATCTGGCTATTCCTATCCTTGAAGTGGAATCTTAAACTGCAATCGTCATTATGAAGCTCGGGAATTAAAGTGGATTCACCACCAGTAAAAATTATAGTGCCATCCAATTTGGCCTTAAATACAAGCCGCCCAACTAAGGGTAGAAAGATGAGAAATAGTTGGAGAAAATAGGAGTGAACCTGCAGACTCCTTTTTGATTTCCACAAAAGCCACATCTGTGAAAGTGGATAACAAATTCTTAGACGATGTACTTTGTAAAACAAACTAAATCACTTTCGAAATGAAGGCTGAACAATAATGTCGCACCATACATAAAATGGCGGTTACACTAACATGGGCAAAGTGCGCATGTCAGTTTTGAAGTTAAATTATAAATTAACAATACGAAATGGAATATACAATTAAAAATTAAAGTCAGTCAGATTATGAATCTAACCGTTACAAATACATATGATAAAGAATAATATCTTATTTGA